GGGCCTCAAAATAATCGACAAGGGAAGGACAGAAGACTGACAGAATTCACACAAGGATCCAGGACTTCAGTTTACTCTTGCATGGGTCATGTGTATTGTACAAAATGAGTCAAGCAGGGCCCTAGACTGAGGATTGTTGCCAATTAATTTCACAACTAACATGACTGTTAAGAATAAAGGTTTACATACAAATATGCAAAATATAGCATTTGTATTATTTATTATTTTTTATGTGGGTTTATTTGGTCACATTTCGCATCCAAACTTACAGGATGGTCCAACAAACTATTTCTAAAATATTCAGTTTTTTTATTTTTATTTTAACATTTATTCATTATTATTATTTTATTTTTGATGTATTTATTTATTTATTCAAATATAAATTATTTAATCATCTCTTGTAGCAGATATGGCAATACTCATCTGGGCTCAAACAGTGAACTCGTTTGTCTGATTCTGCATTTGTATGGCATTAATTTGCCTCTATCTCCAGCCAGTCATTTGTCATCTGTTCTTCCTGTGAGCTCCTTTAGTCTGTCTGACATCTTAGAGCAAATAGAGGGGCCAATACACATACTCAGACACTGGGCCCTCAGTGCCACTAGCCCCTCTTCTAATGTTAGTGTGACCAAACAAGGCATGGTAAATCTGGCAATGGAATCAGATAATCACCAACCTGCGAAGAGCCTCCCAATCCACATCCATACTGCAACCCTGGATTAAACAGTCTGTTTGCCTAATAATTTTAATCTATGCATCAAGCAGAAGGATGGTGGTCTTCGAATAAACATCTAATCTCTCAGCCCACCCAATGATGATGGGCCCACAGCGAGGGTGATCAACAGAAAGGTGCTTAGACAGAGGGACTGATATTCTGTACTGACAGACTCTTGCCAGACTAGGAATGTTTTACAATGTCCAGGGGAATGTACACATCAGGAACAAGGGTGCTCAGCGTGCACATGCAAACTGGAAAGGAGAGTGCATTCTAGGTTCACTATGTCTGGAAGGTCATCTGTAAATCCACACCACAAGAACATCATGTGTCAGCAATAAAGATAACATTAAATGCAAGTAGAACACATAATCTACATTCAAACATAATTATGTTTATTATCATAATTACGTAATTATGAAGAGATCTTGTGACACGTTTTGGTATTACATAATGTTAAAAACCTATCTATCTTTCTATCTATCTATCTATCTATCTATC